TTAAACACATGTGCCAAAACACGTGAGTCACTGGAAGAATGAAACGGAATACAACAGAAAACGGAACACGATACAAACCCTCACTCTGAACCGTAAACGGCACTCCCTCCTGAATCTCTACACCCATCGCTTTGCTGGCAGCTTATCGACTTCGATCTTTTCCAACCAGAAGGCACATCCCTGAAGTCATACTAGCCAGACTCTGACACAGAGCACCTTTGTGATTACCTTCGTTGTAAGAATCCTAATTATCGACGTAACATGTTGTGCAACGACTACTATTGTAGGGTCTAGGTAATGGGTCTTGGGGTGTATAAATCGATTCACGAACTCTGGCAACTAGTATATCTAGTCATTCAGACCACCTACATTGCACCCCCACCAAGCCTGAACCCCAACACAGTGAACCGATTCCTACCGTGACACTTTGGGCGCTTTGGGGGCCTTGTGGCCTGGGCCAGGTTGGCTCTGACCAAAGTGCAGCTGGTGGCTGTGGATCAGCGCCGCACGAAGAACCAGCTGTGATCCTAACATGATACCTGTGATTGCCTGTGAAAGGGTGGAAAATTTCTATTCAAATCTATTCTACTGCGGCAACAGACGAAGGGGTAATATCGAAAGTGAGTGAGATCAGGCACTGAACACGCATAACTCGCTTGCACTTTGCCGCCTGACCCCACGAAGCCAAGGAGATGCAAATCCCAGGAAGACGAGTGCTAATGTCAGGCACTGAGAATAAAACGTAGTACAAGGATTTGGGAAACCTCCGGTAATGATGTGTTGCACTGTCGATGCCTGCTGTTGCCTCAAATTCTCAAGATGCTGCCGTGTTTCGACCATGTCGATCGTTCTGTTCGGCACCCTCCCGTCGCCCACGACCGTCAACATGATTCCATTGATGATCAGGGTAGCCACATGCATTGAGAAGTGCTCGTCAGCTGAGCAGTCCCCATCACCACCACACCAGCAAACTTTGTAGATGCCCATTCCTGATGACAGCGTTCCAGTTGTATCTGGAGCAGTGGATTTGCACGCAGCAAGTGACAACTCTTCTGCAGAACTGTTGTTTGGCACAGTGTCGATTAACTTGGATGTTCTCCCAGGTTTCCGACCGAAAGTCTCCATGAGCACCTTGGGGCAAAGATACAGGGTTCCAAATGCCTTTATATATTGCATCGCGCGACCCGGCATGAAACAGGAGGTGCATGAAAGCAAGTCTGATTCTGAGCCGGTGCGCGCTGGCCCATCGGCGCAGTCAATGCCAGAACGGCATCATGCATGGTGGCACTGCCTACAGAGTGAAACATCCATGAGGCCCTCTCCGCAACATGTTCACATTCCGTGTCCAGCCCTGATGCGATCCTGAGTGCCAGAGATATTGTGAAATCGCATCGCCGCACCTTCAAGTCCACAAAGCACAGTGTCCGCCACGATGCGAATTCGGTCATGCGGATCAAGCGCGACGCCTCAGGGGTTGCTGCTTGCCGTGCAGCTCGAAGCTTACGATCTGCTGTCATCTGTGAAGCGCTACGCATGCAGAGGGCAACTGCAGATGATGTCAGGGTAACTTCTGTTTCAGATGCCTTGCAGCTGCAGAGGCCACATACCGCCTGCGGTCTGTAGAATATGCCGATTTCCGGAGGGCCCCTGCGCACAAAGAGTCCGATTCTTGTGCGAAAAACACACGGAGAAGCTAGCCACCTCGGCTGGAAACTACATTGCATCTCCTTCGGCACCCCGCCTTCGGGGTGACCTCAACTTCGCAGACCGAGAGAGGTGCAACCATCGTCCCAGACACACGTAGGACAAGCCAGAGATAGCGGCCTGCCACACTTACTACAACCGTCACGAGCTGCAGGCAAGCCATGAGCTGAAGGCAACCGGCGCAAAACTGCAGGTACCATGCTGCAGTCATCCGATGCGTTCACCACAGCTAGATAGATGCAGCACATCATCCCGCACCGCCCAACCCGCCTGAAGCCAAACAATTGAATATGTTGGGCTGCTGGAGTCTGTCCAGCATCACAGCTTCTGCACACACTAGGTTTTCACGCCACGTGAGAATCTCGTTGCCCAGGCGGATGTCCAAAGGACCTGGAGGCTGGGAACATTGCTGCTTCATGCATATGGCTTCGACACGAACACAGGGAATGACGGCCATGACTCGCATGAGGCAATCCGCTGAAAATCCAAGCAGCAACCCTGTCCGAGCACACTGCCTAAGCCTGTATCAACACTGTCACTGCGCGTCAGGATGCGCACGACGGCCACGGGGACCTACAGCGAGAGAGCAAAGCATTCCGGAATCGAAAATTAAAAACTATGCTTGGACCGAGCCCTGGCCTGCTAGACGATTTGGCCCACATGCGCTGCTCACAATGCACTTACCGAAGGTCAGGCATGCTGTCATAGAGTCACCGTTGTTCTGACTCCGAACTCGAAGTGATGCTCGGGCATTAGTGGAGAATTCGAGGACTGGCATCCGCGCACCCGGCTTTGCGGCCCTGGGAACGGTTGGGGTCGAGACTTGTATGTTGTTTCGAATTCAAAGAGGCCCCCGTCTCTCACCGACGAGCCGTCGGGTCGAAACGAAAACTATACAACAGCATGCAAATTTAGATAGACCGCTCGGGAGTCCAAAACGGCCCGTCCCAAATAAGCCGCAGGTGTTATGAAGCTAAGCAATTCTGCGACGCATTTAAGCGGCATCGCACATGTGCTCCAATGATCTAAACTTTAAACAATAGCCAGACTCCCTACAACAAGTAAATAGAATCACAGTGAAGCAAAGGACGCGAGCGAAAGACAGAGACAGAAAGACGGCATATTGCAAGAGGGTGCCACGATTTTTGCGTCCCCCGCATCTGGCATGCACACGACACCAATGCATATAGATCATATAGAGATGTACCGCAGTGAGTATACGTCGACACTCATCACTCATCTTTGGGTTGGGTTGTTCCACCACTTCGTTGGTACGATCTGCACAGCATTGGCTGCACGAACTGCGTCTCGCTGCACCCCTGCTCTGCATGCATCCCTTGCTACACGCAGGAAGCATGACCACAACACTTCAAAGTAATTGGACACAGAACTGGAAAAAACAAACAGAACTATTCTCTTTGGTGGCAGGCCAGGAGCAGGACGGAAACGACGAGAACAGCAACTGAAGATAGATTTCGAGAAGCCACATGAACACAGTTTGCACCTAAACTTGGCCAATTCTGACCACGCACGGCAGAATATATATCCTGCATGATCCTGCCTCGCGGCCAAGGTCTACACGCAGCCAAGGATTTGGCTCCACCTGGCATCTACTGCGGACGCTTGTTCTTTCGCTTGCAACAAAGCACTGCCGACGAAAATGCTTGCTCCATGTCATGTCGCCACAGTGAGCACCATGCGTCGCTATGCTCAGCTACTTGCGAGTCTCGCCCAGGTCCAATGTTTTGGGTTTGGCACATCAGGATCTTAGCATCATGGAAGTGGCACTAGACGAATGAAAGTTTGCTGCAGCATCGTCTTATCGGCTTCAGCCACACCATTGGCGCTGAAACTGGCAAGTGTGAGCCGCAGGCTTGATCGAAGCAGGGCATGCCAAAGGGAACACCAGAAGCCCAAGCCCTGTACTGGGCTACTAGGGCTTCCTCGAGGGCCAGACCCTTAAGCCTAAACCTGGCTGCAAGCAGGGCTATCATAAGGATAACAATAAACACGATTCAATTATCCAATAACCACAGCTACAGCACGCCCTGCGTCCTGTTAAAACGCTGTGGGCCTTTGCTGACTTTGCAGCTCCGCGGAGTGCAGCTCAACTTAGGGAAGGGAACCTGCACCTTGAGGCCGGGCTAGTTTAGGGCTGTCAACAGAGATTTTTTCACAGCACAGCAGACAGCACAACAGCCATTCAAGTACAAAGCTCGCTGACAGCTTAAGGAAGAAATTGGAAGGAAACGTGAGACTGGAAAGCAACAAGGCAAACTGCAAGATGAGGCAAAGTGAAGAACTTGGTAGGCGAAGCGTAAAATGTGATGTAAAAAACACAAGTAGCGGCAAGCCGACGACACCATCGGAATGATCAGAAACATATCGAAACACAAACACGTTCAAAGTCGATGCAGTCATGACGTGCTTGAACACACATGTTATCCACCCGTAATCAATCCTTGAGTCTCTTTACCTGAGAGGACTGAGTGAGGTTGCGCTGGCAGGCACCTGAGTTTCTGCGCAGCCCAGGCCGAAGAAAAAAGCAGTGCCGAAGTCCCCATCTGTGGCGCGGAAGCCGTCACCCGTCCAGGTCTCTGTCCCATCGTCGGACACGAACCTTGTGTTGAAGGGCGTAGGGTCATCGGATACAAATCATGCACGATGATGCAAACAAGTACCCTGTACACGAGATAAGCTCCCATTCCTCCATTGCGGCGGAAGCCACTGAGCCGTCGATGATAAGTCGACTTTCTGCCCCAGGGCCAGATTCGGTGCCAGTCGTGTGGCTAGCTGCCTAAGGGCACATCGCTTGTCCGTTCACCAATCAGAATTGACTGAACATCTGGACTCCCTCCGACAAGGATTGCTATGTTTGGCAGCTGGAACAGAACAATCCCAACTCGCCTCTGTTCTTCGGCAGCACATACAGCCAAAAACGTCCAAAAGCTCCAAAGCCTGCCAATCGAAGAAGAAGAGGCTGCACGGCTCCACGCACTCTCCGAATGATGCAATCAAAACTCAAACCAGATCTCCGGCCTGCGCATGCTGCGGCTTAGCCGGCACGGCATGCACCAGGCATCGCCACAAGGCTTGACTTTTGTGGTCTTGTGACTTCTTTGCATGTTTCACATAATGTGCCATTCGCCCTCGCAGTTAGGTGGGCTCCAAGGCGCAAGGGGCCTCCTGCTGCAGCGTTCTTATTGTACGTTAGTGCACATGCTTGGCTGCAATGTTTAAGCCGACCATTCTTCTTCGCTTGCACTTCTCTGGCGAAACCACTACCCGACTACCCTTCGGTGGACTGGGCCAGAAGAGTCAAGCATTTGCCCGTGTTCCGCAGCTGCTATGTCCTCCTTGCCTTCTTTATGCCACGGAGAATGTCAAGTCAACGTCATCCGAACTCTGATAGCTAATTCCACCATTCCCCCAGCGATTGGCATCCCCGCACGACTCGCCTGCAGGTGAGCTGGAGTCCACCACAGTCACAGCATGGGTTACTTTCAACTACATCTGTCAGGCCTCTGTGTCAGATTCGTTTTGTGTCTTCGAAGAGAGATTAGTAGGCGCTGATGCTTAAAGCGAGCGGCACCGCACATCTGAGCGAAAGAGAAAGGAAACCCGCCCAAAAAAACAGAATCAAATAAGCGAAGCTGCGAAGTACATCTCTGAACCCGCTCTCATTATTAGCCGATGGCGGCTGATCATATGTCTTGAACCGCCCGGCCCCCTTATTACGCAATGGCGGCTGACCACATTTCTTAAACATGCTTCTTCACCACGCCATGGCGGTGAATCGCATCTCTTCGAATTGCTCTCTCATTACAAGCGATGACCACTGATCAAACTTGCTCCTCTCGTTACGCGATGGGGGTCGATCACATGTCTCGAAACCCCGCCCCTTCATTCGGTGCCGGTTAATTACGTCTTTTCAACTCGCCCCCTCATTCGGCGATGGCGGTTCCTTTCATTCGGTAAACACGGCTCGTCGGTAAGCGAGGGCGGTTGCCCGGGTCCTTCCTTCATCTTCCTTCCTTCCCTGCCTTCACTTCACCGATATGAGAAAACGGCTTTCGATTGGTGAGAGGTGCTCAGAATGGAAGCGTTGGTTCCAGAACTTCGTTGATTGGCATCCCCAAGAGACGCATCTGCAGCCAAGATGATGTGGTTGAATCTTGAGGGTGAGCACCTGCATTGTTGCCGGTAGCACTTGCTCCGAGAGTGCCAAAGCAAGCTTGAAGCTTGAACCGTTCTCGCGTTGGCCGACTGCCGGGTCGGACATTGCTTGCAAGCAGCTTTGCGTGGCTCTGCAACACACTCTTGCAGCAAACAAATCGCGGTAGCGACTCAGTGCCGGACCGTAAAGGGGGTTCGTTCTACTATGACTGTCGTGAACTGAAAAAACCTGTGACATCTGCTCTTGAGAAACAAGAGGCACTGCAAGTGTTGGTCCATATTCGGTTGCCTCGCCCTTCATGATAAGCAAAACAGAACAGCCTTTTTGCTGTGATCATCTTCACTTTCTCACTGTCCAGGACTGTTGCAGGGAGCCATCAAGTGCTCGCGGCCAAGTGCCGCGACCCGGAGACGTTTCCGACAGCAGCACTTGGGCTCCGGTTCTGCCTAGAAAGGAAGGGCACTCTGCGTGGACGGTATTGCCACCCAGGCGTTCAAGGGAATCCCCGGTGGTGCAAGCATCCAGATGGGATCCGAAAACTCGAAGGATGTTTTCTGAGAGCTGCCTCGGGTGACAAGATATTATTTGCGAATGAAAATACCAGCACAAGCACTGCAATGCGAAGAACACTGCACTATGCGTGCATGTCTTGCAACACATCTCGGGGGTCACGGCAAGACATTTGTTCAAGACAAGATGCTGGATTGAAGGTGCCAGAGCTTCATCTCCAAAGGCACCGGCGGTGGAGACGGTTTGCCTCCAGCTGCACAACAGGTGGTTGGAGCTAGTGCCTTGCACGGCAGCTAGTCACAAGCTGAACGGGGACTGGGACTGCTACACTTGCAAAGTTTCACAGACAGACAGGCAGAACAACCGCGGCATGGATTTTAAAATGCTTGGAGCTTCGAAAAACAATCCGACAATTGCCCCGGTGATTCCCATCCCCCACTGCGCCCATTGTTCCTGGCTCCGGACCCTGTCGCGGGATGCGCGAAGGCAGACCACAACAGCACATGAATATTCATCTTTAGCGTGCATCCATGCCTTTCCCCTCTCGCCCCAACATTGTTACCGACCAGAGCTCTACATGCAAGGCTCAAACACGCATGATCCGGCAAAAAGGCACCGATAATTCAGCAAGGCACAATGCGCAAGCTGAAATTCGGACTGGTTGCATGTAAGCAGAACAATATGCGCGAACACATGGTCGTGAAAAGCAGCACAGCCGACATGACCATTGAAGCAAGTGATCCTGAAGTCGCCGGGGCAAAAGAAAAAGGCCAACGCTCTTGAAAGATCGAAGCTTTCACCACCAAAATTACCGAGGCAAAAAAACGCTTGGACTAAGTAAGCACGTGTGACATAGCAAATCCTAGCCGGCCTAGCCGAAGCATCGCAAAAACATGCCTGTAAACTCATGCGACAAATAATTTACACGGACAAAGGGCACTGGCGCCATGTTTGCTCTGTGTCATTCAACGGAGCTACAAACGTGCAACCACACTTCACAGGGTCGATAAATCACGTTACACAGCACTTGTCTCTTGGGCTCGTTGTTTGAGGTCACCAGTGTTTTTCCAGCTGCCACTGCCACCGAAGCTGTTGCAGCACAGGAGCTACGAGCAGCCAACGTGTAAGAAAAAGGGACCACAGTCTTCATCGTCATCATCTTGATCCAGGTGGACTCGGGCGAGCCTCCTTTGTTACAATTGTTGGCAATGCCGGCAAATGCTGCATGCAGAGCCTCATGGCTCCTTCGCTCGTCGGTCAGGTCGTTCAGCTTGCGGCAATGGCCGGCGTCGAAGTCAGGTTGGCGGCCAGGTGCAAGCGCACAGATCGTCTGGACACAAAGGCCACCCGCCCCGGACCAGCGAGGTCTCACGAAGATCCGCCGGCCGCCTGGCAAAGCATCCTCCGTTGGAGGAGGAGCTGCTGGACAAGTGCAGCACAGGGCCGCCCGCCCACAAAAGCCGGTCATCGATGAACATCAGACCACAGGCATCCCAAACATGGCTAACCGTTATACTTTCAGGCAACCTCCAGGCTCAAAGAGTGGAAGACAAAGCTTTTGAGGTCTCGGTCCACTACAACACCCAAGTAGGAGGCTGGCGAATCACTACCGGTACCGAGCCTCCAAATGACGTGGAGAACGCCTATCGGTCTGATGGCTGGGACTTTCATTGAGATGACCTCTGCTCCATTCATGCGGTGTCGGAATATCTGGTAGCCGTATTGCGTTTTTCCACCGGAGTTGGGTTGCTTGGCACCCTTGGCTACTTGTAGCAACGTGGCAATCCAACCCTGCACATGTCATTTCGCGATCGCAAGGAGGATTGGTGGCACACAAATTCACAGGAAAGAGGTCATCGAAGGACCTAAAGGCACCGAATCATGAAGTGGCCGAGGGTAGCCTCTTCAGCAACTTGGTTCATGTCGCCTGTCAAGACGCCCCGAGAATGCGAAAGGCCAAGGCCAATTCCTCCCATCTTTTGGCTGGTTGACGGCAGGTCGCTCGAATTGGCGACCAACAAGGATCGGCCGCTTGGTACCATGTTGCTCAGTTTCAACAAGCGACGGCATGACTGGCGGCTGCAACACGGAAGGAAACCAGCCCAAGAGTGAGGTGGCAGTCGACAGCAACCCTAGGCATGTCACAACGGGGCTCGTGGGCAACAAGTGCAATTCTGCAGGCCGGGTGCAGTCTCTTGTACGGAGATAGCACACCTGCAACAGCCACATTGCAAGTGCGGGGGGCAAGCCAGATCACACCCATGGTTCTTGATACCTGCAAGGTTTGGCAGCCAGATTCACTGCGGACGAAGACAATACTTCGGCTACGGCTACAAAACGTTGGACCTCACGTGTGGGATCCTGCGGAAAGTGGCCATTGCGCCAGCAATGCGAAGGGGAAAGCATATTCAGCATCCTGCAGTTCGTAGACGGACACCATGTCGTGAAGGTCTTGGGATCGATGCAAACGGCGCGGTCTCCGCTTGCCCACCACTGCAATGCAGACTGGAAGATCATCAGCTATATCGCTCTGACCAGCGATTTCAATCGACTCGTCACCAGCTTGGCATCCGTCCATTCCACAATGCGATTGTTCAGGAAGTCCGCTCACCCTGCTGAGTAGTGACTCCGCGCTCCGTTGTATGGACATACCCGTCCGAGACCGTGACAACACGCCAGTGAGCAACAAAATCGCGCGTCTCGGACGGCATTTCCAAGCAAGCCAAGACGGAGACAATCCAATGTATCTAGAGCATCCACTTCCACGAAGAAATCCTTGTCCGAAAGTCTGTCCCAAAAAAATCGGCTGTTCCAGACCGCAGCAACAAACTACATGCGAGGTGGTAACCTTGTCAAGCTCGTCTGGCTTCACGAAATCGTTCTGGAAAACCTTCCATACTTCGCAAAGGCAGTTAGCAGCATGCTGGGCCCAGGACACCATGGAACTGAAGAACATCTCGAGCACCATTCTCTGGAGATGTCTTGCCGTGGCGCTGACAATCGATGCATTCCGTCGTGGGAGCTTACGACATTCAGCACCGGCAGTCAACCTCATTTCAATGCTGATGTGACTCTTGAAACATCCTGTGTCGCCCAAGGTCAAGGACTCATTCCGACAATAACAGCATTGCATGCGTCCTTGTGTGCGCATGCAGAGCGGGAAGAAAAATCTGAGGCTCTTATGGTTGTCGCATCGATGCGCGGTATAACAGACTCACTCGTAGCATGTATGTCTCATAGTCATAAAACGATAAAGCTCAAAACGTGACTACGATACTCATGAGCGGGCAAAGGGTTCGATATTTCAGCAAGGCCCAGAGGGCGAGCTCAACATCGCTCTAGTTATATGAGAGCTGTACAACATTTCCCTCCAGGCTTTGAGTAGCACAGCGATTGCGATTGGTGCAACTTGAATGCAGGAGCCTGGCACGTTGAAGTCTACTTCGGCAGTGCAACGGTCGTCCAAATCGGCATTGACAACCTTCCGCGCGCCCACTACACCCTACGACACCACACATCAAGACGTGGTCTTGAAAGCATCCAGCAAGCCTTTTACAACCACCTCTCACTTGGAGCTGTTCTCTCTCGAGGCCGCGGCCCAGCTCTGATTGTTTCCACTAGGTCGGATGGTCACCTTGCCTTCCTGGATCTCCACGGCCTGGACTGGCTTGCGACTGGGCATCTCTTGCTGCCTTGCTGCCTTTATACCGTGAGAACTGCCTTCTTGTCACCGTCGTGCATGTCTGCATAGACTGCCTTCAAGCTCTCCTGAATACACGGAAACATCAGCGGAAGCCGCAGACCAAGTCATGCCCATTCCATCATTACTGAGGCTGAGTCTTACAGTTTCGTGTTGCATGGCTAATGGGTTGGCAGCGCATGTCCTCAAATGAGGTTCCTGCTCACAACGACTCATCATTTCCCTTGCAAAGTAAGCAGACCTTTACACCTTGAGTGGCTGTTGCAAGATGCGCCAGTACCAGGTAGTCTAACTAGAAACCGATATGGCTTTTGCGCGAAGATATCATGAGGTGAACTCAACCGCTGTGAAACTCTAAGAACTGTCAGGACGTCTCCAACCCCACCCCCGAAGTTGGTCCATGGCTCTGGGCAGGAGATTGCCTTGACCTCGGTACTCTGCAGTGGCAGGACTAGACAACACGACAAGGGAATGTTTCACATTTTGCCATTCGAGTATTAGATGGCTTTACGGCTCTACGTCTGGCACCTGAGCGCTGGCATCCGGTTTGCGACTTGCTGGTGGAGCAACCAGGTCTTTTCTACGTATGACGGGTCCGGGTCCAGGTTCGCACACGAAAGGGAAGACAAGCCTTGCGGTGTGTGATGGCGAAGTGGCTGGCACTTTCAGAGCACCTTTGCTCCGCGATCCGAGCGGGGATTCTTTCAGTGAGCACCATCGGCAATTTGAAAACAAACACAAGCAGTTGAAGAGATGCGGGGGTTCCGTTCAGAACACTTGGACTTCAGGTCTTAACATGGGCAGCCTTAGACGACGTTTGAACGCCACAAGTCGCCCCTCCATCTCGTCATGCCTTGTTGTTTCGTCAATCGGTTGGTACAGTAGTCGTCGTCGTCGTCGTCGTCGTAGTCGTAGTAGCAGTAGTAACGGTAGCAGTAGCAGTAGCAGTAGCAGTAGCAATAGCAGTAGCAGTAGAAGTAGCAGTAGCAGTAGCAGTAGAAGTAGCAGTAGCAGTAGCAGTAGCAGTCGCTGTCGTAGCAGTACCAGTACTAGCACTAGCAGTAGTAGTAGTAGTAGTCGTCGTCGTCGTCGTACTAGTACTAGTACCAGTACCAGTACTGGTACCGGTATACCAGTACCAGTACCAGTACCAGTACTAGTAGTAGTACTAG